CCAATCAAAGATTCAGGAAAATAAAGAAAACGTAGTAAAAACTATATCAAAAGACTTTTAACATGTATGTAACATATATGTAAAAGAAATCAGAATTTAATTTCATGTAAAAATATATTATGTGGCAAGAATACAAATACGTGCAAATACTCTAGTAATCATAATAAATCTACCTATTAAAAGAGACTATGGGCTGGGATAAAAATAAAGTCAGTCTTTTTTGTCACTTGAAGTCAAATGACACAGGTTAAAATTGAAGGAAAAAGAAATTGCCATATAAATACTGACAACAAAAAACCTAGCAGATGAAATATTAGAAGTGTACAAAACAGAAAAGAAAATCATTAAATGGTAAGAAAAAGTATACTTCATGTTGTACTAAAAAGAAGATTCCTCTTGTTCTCATTGGTGGAAACTATGTCATAGGGCCAGGGTGGATCCAATCACAGTCCAAGAGAATGAAAACTCCATGAACCACGTAGGCCACTTGAGACTGAATCCCTGGGACCAGCGTGGAATTCCCCTTCTCTGGAACACAGGACATACAAACTAGGATGAATACCTGAAGGAAAACAGCGTTACAGTAGAGAGGCAGGCAACTGACAATAAGCCAGCCCAAAGTTATCTCAACATGTAATTTATTTCCCTGCGGCATTAGTTACTACAAATTAGTGATACACGATCAAATACAAAGTGCAATGTGTTATTGCTTTGTCTCCTTTGAATTGTCTATCTCCTCCATTAAAATGTAAGTGGACCTTGACTATTCTGTTCTTAATTCTAGCTCCAATGTCTTGCACAATGCTCAGTACATAATAGAACTCAATACATGTTTACTGATAGAGCAAATGGGTGACTAACAGGATACAATACTTTGAGACAGATCAACCAGAATAATAATACAGTAAAAAAAAAATTTCAGGAAATTAAAGCTTCAAAATGGTTTCAGTGTTACAGAGTTAAGAGACAAGGATTGCAAAAAGACTTCTGAATTGCATGCTCAAAAAGGCTTTTCACCTGTAGAGAGCAGTTTTAGCAACAGCATTCATGAATACACACCAGATCATAAGGAATTCATGACGAAGTGGGTAATACAGCAGTGGCTACAATAAGATTATCTTTGTCATTTTTAAACTTGGTAAATGCAGAAAGGGTCATGTCTCTGAAGACAGCAGAGTCAAGGAAGGGGGTTCATTGGTTTGTTTATTTAAGAATGGCAAGAGTAAATCAATAGGGCTGGCACTGTGGCATAGTAGGCTGAGCCTCCAGCTGCAGGACTGGCATCCCATATGGGCATCAGTTCAAGTCCCAGCTGCCTCTCTTCTGATTCAGCTCTCTGCTTATGGCCCTGAAAATCAGTAGAAGATGGCCCAAGTGCTTGGACCCCTGCACCCATGTGGGACACCCAAAGAAGCTCCTGGCTCCTGGCTTCAGATCAGCCCAGCTCTGGCCATTGTGGCCATCTGGGGAGTGAACCAGTGGATGGAAGACCTCTCTGTCAGTCTCTCCCTCTCTGTCTGTAACTATACCTCTCAAATAAATAAAATCTTTTTAAAAAGGAGTAAACTTATTAATTAACAAAAAAGGAAGTAGGCAATGGAGAAAAATACATTAAAGGTACAGGGGGAAATGAATTATATATAAATTTCTAGAACAAAGAGAGAACCAGAGCAAATGTAAAGCATTGAAAGATTAACCTGGAGGAAGAACTCACTGTGTCCATTGTCTACAGTAGTGGAAGGCTGGGAAAGTCAGAGACACATAGAACAAAATCAATGTGCTGTGACCTCCACTTAACTGGGATTATCTACCTACTCCATAGTCGTGTGCAATAAGTATCTGTTGAATGAATGGAATGAACAAACACATGAATAGATGCAACGCTGTAAATAGGTTCTTCTCTGTATCTCTTTGCCATAAACATGATCCTCTTGTTTTCCTAAGGTGGATCATAAGTGACAAGGAATGATAGTTGCTACCAATCAGGGAATGTCTTCGGTGGACATTTTCCAACAACCAAAAAACTGGGCAAAAAGGAAGAGAAGCAAAAGTAAGGTAGGATAAATGAGAAAATTCCCTTGTGTATTTTACTGTTATTGAAGTCCATAAGGATGGAATTATTTATACGCTAAAGCTATACATTTTACTGAAAGTTGCAATAAGTAAATGATTTAGTAAAATTATATATAATAAAATATATTCAAACGATAACCATAAAATATGAATATATCAATATTTGTCTAACTGGTAAATAAAAAACAAGATTGAGAAATAAAAAGCATTATTGTCACTATAAAATAACTGCTCAACTTGAAAATTATACCCAGATCTGATTTTCTAATTTGTTGAGCATTTTCTTTGTTAGCATTTTCTACTTTTAATGGTTTTCACATTCCAAATTTATGGAACATAGATATATAAAGCATTATTTAAGGCCCACTGTAAGTTATCTGAAAATAAACTATATCTATATTTCACTTCACAGCATTCTCTGCAGCATCTGCACACCTCAGGATTGCAGATCAAGTCAAAAGCTCACAGAAACAGATGAATACCTTCAGGTCATCAACAGACATTACTGAAAATACAACCTGAGTACATACCAGATTTAGCTTCTACTTTCAAACTATGAGAATCTTACTGTAATAGTGCCTACTGAATTAGAAACATCAAGATGATGACTTTGTAAAGAAGGGTTATATTTAAAAACTCACATAGGGATAAAAATGTGCCAAAGCACTCCATTGCTTACGGAGGAGCTTCATATCAGAAATTTACCACTCCCATTATGAGAGCACTTCAAAAACTTTGTGGAAAACGTGATGAAAAATTAAATTTATTTTGGTGCAAAACGATTTTGAAATCCACGCATCTGGAGGTCTTCAAAATGTTCACAGAGAATCTGCCTTTGGAAAAAAGATGCATGGATTTCAAATTGTCTTACACAAAAATAAGCTTATTTTTAATTCCATTTTCCCACAAACTTTTTGAAGCAAACTTGCGTTTCTGTCAATGATTTAATGACTACTCACTGTGCACAAACCAACCTAGTAACACAGTCATTTATATGGAATACTGGATGGCACTAGGAACTAGGAAGGAGTTGGCCACTGTTGAGGACTAGGGGTAGCAGCCACAAGGCTCAGTTTACAGCCACAACAATTGGTACTTGCATGTACAACAATTGGTACTTTGCACTAAAAGAGTTCATGGAAAATGAGACAAAATGATAAGTGCATTTCAGTGAAAACATTTTTTGAAATGCATGCATCATTTTTTCCCCATACACATTTTCCATGAGTTCTTTAAGGGGCCCTCAAACAGTCTACCTGTGATGTTTTTATACACACAAGTGTTATAAACATCCACATAGGATGAAGATATAAGTAAAAAAATAAAGTCAAATCGAGGAAATCAAGATGAGAGTTAGAATTCCAGTTAAATTGTATAATTGAATAGTAGACTTGAGAGACACTTTGGAAGAAATATCAACACCAAGATGGTGGGGAAACATGGGAAATAAGAATGAGGGGGAAGATAAATGATTTGAATGGTTGGAGACCATTATTTTGCTTATTGAAAAAATCTGGAACAAAGTGGCACCTTGGAGCTAACCACTGGTCTTCCTCTACATTCTCACCACATATTGAGGAGCTTGTGGCCCTACCTGAGCCTATTTATCAAAGGCAAGCATGATCACCAAGTCACACCATTGAACGTTTTCAGTTGTAGTGAAGATTCTTATTTAAGTGCTTTTCTTAGGTGGTTTTGCATTTATTTTATAACTAATTTCTAGTGCTCAAAATATTTGCAAAGTTTCACATTTGTATACATGTATAGTATGTCTTTACATTTTATTGTATGTATATACCTATTTTAGGTAACTATTTAAGCTAGTTTCATAACTTTGTATGCCTACTTTATCACACATTGTAAAATTTTCTGACCACTATCCATAACTTCAGAGATTTTCAGTTTAAATATGGCAATGAGTTGGTCACGTCTCACTGCATAGATCAAACCTTCACGTGTGCTCAGTCATGTTCTTGGTACATTACCAGGAACAACTGTGGCAGACATGACCACACTGTAGCCCCTAAAAGGTTAAGTATCATGAGGGTCTGGGCCAGCGGGCTGATATGGCACAGTGAGTAGAGACACCATCTGCAGTGCCGGCACCCCATATGGGCACCAGTTCCTGTCCCAGCTGCTCTATTTCTGATCAGCTCCCTTGCTAATGGCCTGGAAGAAGCAGCAGAAGATGATCCAAGTGTTTAGGCCCCTGCACCAATGTGGGAGACCCAGAAGAAGCTCCTGGCTTCCCCTTGGCCCAGTCCTGGTCACTGAATCTTTTGAGGGAGTGAACCAGCAGATGGAAACACACTCTCTCTCTTCTCTCACTGACTTTCAAATAAATAAATAGATCTTAAAAAAAAAAAAAAAGAAACAAAGAAACTTTGGACCAGTAGTCACCACCACCCTACACATCTGCAACTCACCTTTTATTTGCAATGCTTTTATTGTTTTTTAGACACATTTCATGAATCTAAATCTAAATATTTCTGCTCAGAAACCTTTCAAAATTACCTACTACCGTTTTTTTTTTTTTGTTTTTTTTTTTTTTGACAGGCAGAGTGGACAGTCAGAGAGAGAGACAGAGAGAAAGGTCTTCCTTTGCCGTTGGTTCACCCTCCAGTGGCCGCTGCGGCCGGCGCACCACGCTGATCCGATGGCAGGAGCCAGGTACTTATCCTGGTCTCCCATGGGGTGCAGGGCCCAAGCACTTGGGCCATCCTCCACTGCACTCCCGGGCCACAGCAGAGAGCTGGCCTGGAAGAGGGGCAACTGGAGCAGAATCCCTCGCCCCGACCGGGACTAGAACCCGGTGTGCCGGCGCCGCAAGGCGGAGGATTAGCCTAGTGAGCCGCAGTGCTGGCCCCCAAAATTACCTACTACCTTAAGCAAACAATTAGAATTAACTTATAAGATTCTATAAGTACCTTCTGACGCTGTTCATCTTTCATCCTTTGTAATTTCCGGTTTTCTTCCTCCCTGAGAGAATCCTTATAAGCCTGACTTCTGGCCTGTAAAGGTACAGGAAGAAAAATGTGTTAGGAAAAAAGTATGACCTCAGTAAACCAATCTGCCTGCTGTGGGACAGGTGCTGATAACTCAATGTCTGTACTGTGCATACAGTAAGCTCTGTATAGGCACTTGCTTATGGAGTGATTTATGCGCATGTCTGCAGATGTCCCTTGGGATATATAAAAAGAAGGCTAGTGTAAGCACAATTGTTCAGCACATTTTAAAGGATGATCTAAGTGTTTGTTTAATTAAGCTTTTAAAATATCCCCTCAGAGATAACCAACATAATTTATTCTTTCTGGTAGAAAGTTAAAGATATTTTTTTGACTCTTCCAACGAGCTGATCAGTCAATATCAGAGACAAGCAAAAGTGGCACTGGCTTTAGAGGCACTGATATATTTACTCGTTAATGGTATCCCATTAAACATCATGTCAACTGGTGATTGATACCATGGAATTCAGGATGCCTTCCTCTCTAAACCTTTGCATCCCTAATCTGTATCTGAAGCTTATTTTTTTTTAAATTTTTCCTTCTTTATTTGAGAGACAGAGACAGAGAGCTCCCATTTGCTGGTTCACTCCCCCAAATGCCCACAACAGCTAGGGCTGGGCCATGTTGAAGCTGGGAGCTAGGTCTCTCACACAGGTAGCAGGGAGCCAGCTACTTGAATAACAACTTGCCACCTGCCAGGGTATACACCAGTTGGAAGCTGGAATTGGGAGTGGGGCTAGCACTCAAACCCAGGAACTCTGATACGAGGTGTAGGGCATCTTAACCAATGCCTCGCCACCATACCAAATGCCCACTCCTGGAGTTTATTTGTTTTTCTGAGAGGGAAAACAAAGCCTGTTGAGGAGCACAGGAGCTATAGGATAGCCAGCAAGGATGGTAGGAGTTCCATCAGTCTGTGTGACCCACAACATCAGCGTTCCACGGGCTGGCATAGTGACCGTGTATTCTCAAATTTGGGAGATTTCAATTTAGGATTATTTAGCTTACAACTTTTCCAATTTACAATGGTGGGAAGTGGTATGTGCTCATAGGAACTCTACCGCACTTTGAATTGGGACTCTGAGGTCCAATCCTCTCTTGCAGTGCTGGGAGGCAGCGAGGAGACATAGCTCTCAGTCAGCCCTGTGATCCTGGGGTAGACTACCAATACTCGGCAATGTGCTATGTTCCTAAGCTGTGACATTTGCTAGGTTGGAAGGGTTAGATGCATTTCTGACTTAGGATATTTTTGACATATGGTGGTTTAGCATGAATCTAACCCCACTTGAGTCCAGGACTATCTGTATTCTGTCTATCTGTCATAGACTTTCCCTCTTCTTGCTGACTCACAGCCCCAGCCTCTGCAAGGGTGGCCAGGCTGAGAAGCTGGTGCTTAGGGAATTCCAGTGATCTCATAAAACTACTAGCAGCATCACAACTGCAGGCATCAGATTTCAGGCCTAGTTTTCCAGGCTAGTAGTCCAGAGATCCAGGCTGATCTCCCCTTTTCCCTACTGTCATTTTTCTTGAGAACTCCTTACTTCCTATCCCCAATTCTCTAACTATAAAAATTCATATACCATCAAACATGAAGAGCTACTTTCCAGACACAGGAGGCTTCAGAATTGTTGTCATCTACAGATACCAATTAGAACGATGGAGCTCCATGTGTTCAGAAAGCCCTCGTCTGTCCAAATTCTGCCACATTAGACAGGAAACCACACATCCTATTGCTTTGTCTCATCTATATCCTAAAAACAAGGGAACTGGGAGACACAGACGGTGGGGAGTGGTTCTCTAATGATCGCTCTTTTTATATTATAGAAGGTCAATTTTTATCACCAACATCCCATAGAAGCCTCCAGGTGGAAGGGGATGGGGGTAGTTTCTATTTAATATATTAAAAAATAGAATAAAATACAGTCACATGTTTAAACAAAGACCCTAAGTTCTAATTGAATATTTTCCTTTTAAACTTAACATTGTATAGTTTTTTTTATATTAGTTATTGGCTCAGGAAAAAAAGTTATTTTATATCATACACACACACACACACACACACACAATGCCTTACGAAAGGCCACAGAAACTAAGTCACATGGCACCTAAACTGTGATGAATTCAGTTACTTAGAATTTATTATTGCTTACTTACCCAACTGTGATCCCTAGGAAGGACAGGAAATATCTGTTCAGAAATAATGGGGGTGGGGAGATTTTGATCATGATTGACTTAGTTCTGAATATGAGAAATTTCTAAGATGCTGCATTTCAACTAAGGTGCACTTTTATTCATCCTCCCCCAAATCTATGCTTATAACCTACTCATTCAATAAATAGCATTTAAGTTGCAAGTATTTTGTCAAGAGAGATGGGAGGGAGGATGGGAAGAATCATTACGTTCCTAAAATTGTATATGTGAAATATATGAAACCTGTTCCCTTTATATAAATAAATAAATAAATAAGTAAATTTATATTTAAAAAGAGACATGATTCCAGACCTCAAACACTTAGAGCCTGGTGTGGAAGCCAGACTAGAAGATGAATGATTACAGTAAAGCTTGATAGAGTCTATGATGGAGGAAGCCAAAAAGGCGAGATTCGCCGAGATCAAGTTCACCTTAAAGAGGCTGACACGAAGTTGTGTTGCAGGGTTGGAATGAGACTAAGCAGCAAGGACAGAATCTGAACGAGTGAAAAATAATGCCATATGAGTTTCCCAGGCCTTCCAGAACCAAGTGCCAGAGACTTGGGTCTCAAAGAACGGACATTCACTATCTCACCACTCTAGAGCCCAGAATTGGGGTGACCTCAGGGTTACGTAGTCTTGAAGACTGTTCCAGGCCTCTTTCCCTGGTTTGCAAGTGGCCAATCTTCACCATCTGTCTCTTCCACCACCTTCCCTGTATGCACATCTCTATGTCCAAATGGCCCCTTTCTAAGGGAGACACTTTTCACATTTGACCTGAGCCCTCCCTACTGACCTCAAGTTAACTAGATGATCTCTATAAAGACTTTAACTCCAAATCACGTCGTATTCCGAAGTGCTGAGGTTTAGGGCTTCACCATCTAAATTCAGCAGGGGAGGGACATAACTCAAGCCATGACAAGCATTAAGTTCTCATTTCAAGATGGTGGAGCAGAGATGCTTCTGCTCTGTTCTTCTCTCAAACTGTACCTTCTACAGGGGAGAAAGCGGAACAAACACAATCTTCAAAATCCAAGAGACATTTGTATTCCTGATTGAAAACCTATAAAGACAAACTAGATGACAAAATGGGCAGCGACTTGGGAAGGAAACAAGCAAACCTGAAGATCTGCTGGCAGGGGGCTGGAGGACACCCACGGGAGGCCAGTTTCCTCCACAGAGCAACATGAGGGTCCCAGACATGGATGCACCAGCTGACGGGGAGGACAGATGGACAGCGGGGAGGACAGATGGACAGCAGAAGGTGGAGAGAAAAGAATTATTAGAGAGTCTCAGGAAAAGCTCTTTACCTTCATGTACCTGCTCCTGCCCTGAAAATTAAGGTGCCAATTCACCCAATGCGGACAGCAAATCAAAAGCCACACACAATGAGTAGGGAAGGCAGCAGGGATAAAGCACCAGGCCAAAAAGGAAAGGATCACATAAAATCCTGCCTCCCCCCGGGCCTGTAAGTATCCAGGCCCCTTCTGTGAAGGGGTCATGGGCTCCCCGCACTGTTGTCTCTGAGCGGTATAAGATGATATGTCATCCAGGAAACAAGAATAGGTTGCTATTTCTAAAAAATATAGAGAAAAACAGAAGAATCCCTTACACATTAACAAAATCCCCTCTACGCATTCAAGAGAACCAAGTCAGTAAAATATTTAGAAGATAAAGTCAAGAAAATATGCCAGAAAGCAGAGAAAAAAAGGAGTCAAAGATAAATTAGAGGAGAAAAATGTTTTAAAGACAAATGTTAGAAGATAAATCCAGGTGGCCTAGGATTTGAATAATAGGAATTCCATTAAGAGAAAATGAAGGGACATAAATCAGAGAAATAACACAAGAAAATTGTCTAGAACTAGAGATGAGTTTCCATATTGCAAATGAATAAAAAAGGCTCTCACATTAAGTCCCATCATTACCGAATGCCAGAAAAAGAAGATATTAAAATATTTGCAGGAGAAGCAAAAAGTTCTAAAAAAGGACTAAAACGCAGATGGCCTTGGATTTCTCAGGAAGCAATACTCCAAGGTAAAAGAGCAAGGCTTTAAATTTCTGAAGGATAATTATTTCCAATTTGGAATAGTCATCAGTAAAAATGCTAGCAAAGTGAGAGGGAAGAATAATGATAACTGAAGATATGGAAAGACCCGAACATATTTATCTCCCATGCATCTTCTCTCGGGAAACTACTAAATAATACGCTCCACCAAAATGAAGAAATAAAGCAAGAAAGCAGAAGAAATGAGATCCTGAGATCAGGGGACTCAAGATAGGAAAACCATAAAAGCAATTCCCAAGACGACTTTAAAGCAGTGATTCTCAACCTTGGCTGCACATTAGAATTACCTGGAGAGCTCTCAGAGACCCTGCACCCCAAGCCACAGTACAGCAGGATCTCTGGGAGTGTGACCCAGGCATCTTCAAATTTTAAAGCTCCCCAGAGGACTCCAGTGTGCAGAGGAGGCTGAGAGCCATTGTGCTAAAGGGAAGTCCTAGAACAGCAGCTGTGTGGCAGGCCCAAAAAACAATAAGGGGGCTAGGCGCTGCAGTGCCAGCATCCCATGTGGGTGCTCCTCCTCTGATCCAGCTCTCTGCTGTGGCCTGGGAAAGCAGCAGAGAATGGCCCAAGTCCCTGGGCCCCTGCGCCAGCATAGGAGACTTGGAGGAAGCTCCTGCCTCCTGCCTTCGAATCGGCGCGGCTCTGGCCGATGTGGCCATCTGGGAAGTAAACCAGCAGATGCAAGATTCTCTCTCTCTCTCTCTCTCTCTCTCTCTCTCTGCCTCTGCCTTTCAAATAAATAAATAAATCTTAAAAAAAAAATTAGGACAGGGAAGAGCAGGAGGCAAGAAGGTTCCAAGACGGAAAACCCTGGAATTGACCATTTATCTGATCATTTCGCACAGTGGAAAATTGTGAAAATTAGCATCCAGATGCATTTTATAGGGGTGAGTGCTGTGGCGCAGTGAGCTAGCCCACTGCTCGGGATGCCCACATTCCTTATCTGAGCACCAGTTCAAGGCCTGGTTGCCCCATTTCCAGTCCAGTTTCCTGATAATGTACATGGGAAGGCAGCGGAAGATGGTCCAAGCGCTTGGTCTCCTGCCAGCATGTGGGAGACCTAGATGGAGTTCTGGACTCCCAGCTTTAGCCTGGCCCAGCCCTGGCTATTATGGAATTTAGGGAGTGAAACATCATATTGTAGATTTCTCTCTCTCCTCTCTCTCTCTCTCTCTCTCTGTGTCATTCTGCCTTTCTTTTTTACGATGTATTTATTGGGGCTGGCGCTGTGGCATAGCAGGTAAAGCCACCACCTGCAGCGCCAGCATCCCACGTGGGTGCCGGTTTGAGTCCTGGCTGCTCCACTTCCGATCCAGCTCTCTGCTATGGCCTGGGAAAGCAGTAGAAGATGGCCCGAGTCCTCGGGCCCCTGCATCCACATGGGAGACCCGGAAGAAGCTCCTGGCTCCTGGCTTCAGATTGGCTCAGCTCCAGCCATTGTGGCCATTTGGGGAGTGAACCATAACCATCGGATGGGAAGACCTCTCTCTCTCTCTCTCTCTGTCTTTCCTTCTCTCTGTGTAACTCTGACTTTCAGGTAAATTAATGTATCTTTTTAAAAAAGATGTATTTATTTATTTAAAATGCAGAATTCGGCCGGCGCCGCGGCTCACTAGGCTAATCCTCCGCCTAGCGGCGCCGGCACACCGGGTTCTAGTCCCGGTCGGGGCGCCGGATTCTGTCCCGGTTGCCCCTCTTCCAAGCCAGCCCTCTGCTGTGGCCAGGGAGTGCAGTGGAGGATGGCCCAGGTGCTTGGGCCCTGCACACCATGGGAGACCAGGAAAAGCACCTGGCTCCTGGCTCCTGCCATCAGATCAGCGCGGTGCGCCGGCCGCGGCGGCCATTGGAGGGTGAACCAACGGCAAAGGAAGACCTTTCTCTCTGTCTCTCTCTCTCTCACTGTCCACTCTGCCTGTCAAAAAAAAAAAAATGCAGAATTATGAGAGGGAGAGACAGATACAGAGAAACTGTCCATCTGCTGGTTCACTCCCCAAATGGCTGCAATGGTTGGTGCTAGGCCAGGCTGAAGCCAGGAGCCTGGAACTCCATCCGGGTCTCCCATATGGGTTCAGGGGACCAAGCACTTGGACCATCTCCCATTGCTTTCCCAGCAGCATTAGCCAGTAGCTGGATCACAAGTGGAGCAGCTGGGACTTAGACCAGTGCCCATATGGATGCTGGCATCACAGTGATGGTTTAATCTACTATGACACAATGCCAGCCCCTCTGCCTTTCAAGTAGAGAAAAATAAATAAATTAAACTATTTTTTTGGGAAATAGGAGTATGTGATGCGAGAGAACAGTAGAGACAACAGTGATACAGCCAAGGCACGCAGCAGAGAGGAGCAGCAAGGAGAGGGAGAGGAAGAGGGAGATGGAGAGGGAGAGAGGGAGAGGGAGATGGAGAGGGAGAGAGGGAGAGGGAGAGGGAGAGGGAGAGGGAGAGGGAGAGGGAGAGGGAGAGGGAGAGGGAGAGGGAGAGGGAGAGGGAGAGGGAGAGGGAGAGGGAGAGGGAGAGGGAGAGGGAGGAGCCACTGAACTGTTTGGGGCAATGCAGCAGCAGGATGAGATTTTTCTTAATTCTTATTTCTTTGTGGAAAAAGAGGAGACAGCAAACCAGAAACCACTTAGTATGCAACTGTAAATATTCAACAATACTGGCCAAGGAAGGTCTGACCTCTGCCTTCATGTGCATCCAAGTGTAAGTGAAAACCCTGTTAGGGACCTTGTATCTGAAGTCATAAACCTAAAGTCACTTTCTTATACCATCTAAAGGAATTTTCCTGTAGTTTTTTTCACTGACATAATTATATAGTCTTCTATTTAAATAAGAAAATCTCATTTAAATAAGAAAAGTTATCAAAAAATTTCTCAGGAAAGGCACATTAGATAGTAAAATAATAATAATAAAAACAATAACAACAACAACTTAGGTCTTTCCAGGTCATCATCCCCCATGTGGATGGGACTCACACAGTGTTCCCTTTCCGTACATGGACCACAGCTAAGGCGAATTGCAGGTTACCTCTTTTCACAGAGGAATGTTCTTCACAGAGTAAAACATACATATTAGATCTTCCTAAACCATTAGAAATGGTTCCACAAGGCATTCTCAGAAGCATTCCATGCATACGGATTAGACAGAATGCAAAGTGCATAGAATGGGTAAAATGTCAGGTAAATCTATTGACCATCAACACCTTCTAAATAGTTTGGTGTCAAAATGAGAACAGCTATTGCATGCAGGTCGTAGGAAACCCTCCTAGGGCCCATCCTCCTCCAGATTTTCTATTAATAGCTCTGAGGAGCCTGTGACTAATGCACTAATCAATCCACAGAAAATGTAGCTCTGGGAGACATTGCTAATGCTTCAGATGACAGTATTAAAATTCAAGATGATCTTGTTAAACTGAAGAAATGAGCCAAAATCAATAGAGCAAGCCAGCACACATGTTTCTGCCAGGTGTTTCAAATCACAGAACTCAGGAAGTCCTCAAACAGGAAGTGAGGCTGAAACCCAGTTGGTCAAGTTGTCCAGGGGACAACAGGAGTTTCCCATCCCCTCCCTTACAGCCACAAGGTACACGGACAGATGTGTAGAAGTGTCATCCACACATTATCCAACTGCACTACCTCCAGCTGCTCGGTTCTTTCACCCACAGCTCTGCAGAGAGAGATGAAAGATTTCAGTTGATATGACTTGTGCAGCCCACACTGTCAAATTCAGGCTGTGGAACACTGCATCAATAATGGGGGAAAAAATTAGAAGCACCTGAGGGTTTGTAGGTGGGAGTATAATGACCTTTTTCCAGAGAATGTCAGAATGCCTTCCTGATATTTTAAAGCACAGTCCCTCATGAGAAAGGGATGGTGGGAGACAAAGATCAGGTGTCTCTAACAACTTGGCTTCTGTAGCATTTGGACAAGTAATGCTGTGACTCTGTAAAATTTAAGCCCATCTTTTCTTTCAGCTATAACCACTTCCCAGGGTCATCCTTAATTACATTTACTTTCTTGTCCCTAACTAGCCAAACCACCTTCTAAGCACTTCGCTAATGTACACTTGATCTCCATCCGCCACATACTGTCCTTGGGGAAGTCTTCAGCCCTCCTCGTGTAGACCAGCCCAGAAACCTCTGCACTCTCTGCACTTCTCTATTCCTTTAAATCCACCCATCCACAAGGTTACCATTATGATCCACTGAAAACAGAAGCCAGACCTTGAACCTCCCCTGCTGAAAATATTCCACTACCTCAGCACTCACAGAATGAAGCACAGGTACTCCAATGCAGCACAAAAGGTCTTCGGTGGTTTTTTTCCTACCAGAAGTGCCAGCAGCTTCCTGCATGGGACGTTTCTGGATGACTCAATGTCTGGATGGTGCTACTAGCATTCTGTGCCCAGGGCTGGGGATGCTAGGCATCCGGCAGTCCCCAAGACAAACCTGCACAAGAAACTCTCCCCTTAAATGGCCAGTGGTGCCACCAATGAGGAAGGCTCTTGGTGGCTCCTGGTTGCTTCTCCAGCCTTCTAGGTCACTCTGCTACACTATAGCTACATAACTCTTCTTCCCTAATGTGAGTTCTGATTTTTTTTTCTTGCCTTTATACCTTACTTCTTCTATGTCTTATGAATTCTGACATCTAGAATGATTCTTTTTGCTTTACCAACTCGTCCTTTAAGCCAGAGCTCAGGTGTCACTTCTACCAGGAAGTTGCTACAGATACACACACACACACACACACACACACATAGAGTCTTACTCAAATGCACCTTCCTGAAGTGCTGTATGCTCTACACTGACCACTTTGTTTTGTAATTATGGATTTTCTCCATTAGCCTATGAAAGTCTTACAGGGTAGAAATAAATAATATGCACCCAGGAGACTTTATAAAAACCTTATAAGAATTTTAAGGAGTGGATGGCTGGGATCCTTCCTGACATGACTGAGATGGTGGTGCTTAAGGACGTATCATTATTTTATAGCTCAAATAGTCATTATATAGGTAACAAATATCAGCATTATTTTTTAGCGCAGGCAACTGTTAAAGGTCAAAGTTTTAGATCAGGTCTGCCTGCCTTTAGGTCCACTATTCCATGCTACGCAGGTCACGCCATGCCCTGAATCTTTCCTAACCCCACACCCACCTTTAAAAGTGCACCCAGCGTCTCGCTTGGCATTCCACTTACCCATGCTGAGGATTGTGGGTCACGGGGAGCAATTTGACAAGCACTTCTGTTTGGCAGTTCTGCATCCAGTCTGCTCAAGAACTCAGCAGTTTTGCTACAGGGAACACAAATAGATGTGAGAGCCTTCGTGAAAACAGAAATATCCTTGTTTACTGCGCCTTTGGACAGCAGCCTGGGCTGTTACTGAGCGATGACAAACAGCATCCCCGGTAGAACAAAAGGTTAAGTTGAGAACAAGGGACCGCAGAAAATCAAAACAAAACGCTATCACAAGACTGCATTCCTGCAAAAACATGAGTTTGAGAAAGATAAAACGAGGTGTGAACCTATAATTCCCTTTTTCCACTTTGTATTATTGGCATGGAGATAAGTGCTCCTGCGGATTCCACAGTACGAGGCCTAATTTCCCATCAGGACATGCAGAGTTTGACACTCACATATCAGGACGGAGCTGCGGAACATTAATCCCCTACAAGAGCTTATTTCACACCAGCTTTACGTTGCGCCCTTCACCCACCAGGGTCTTTCTCATAGTCACCTCGCCTCCCTCGTGGCTTCGATGACCCCCAGTGTACACACACCCTCTGAGCCAGCAACTCTCCCGTTTATAGATTTTGAACCTCATTGTGATTCTGAACGCAGACATGGACTCTGGCTCACCGGGCACAGAAACACACACACCTTTGCGCTTGATTTGAAGGAGCTGATGAACCTGTTTCACGGAGGTTAAAAAGTGCTGTGGATTCTGGTCTGCATTTCTGACATGTCTTTTTTAGCTCTGAAAGGTTGACCTAGAACTGTCCTCAGTTTTAATGCGACGTTGTTTGTTTTCCCCTTAAATACCAAACCACCACTCCAAACTCTCCTCCCACCGATGTTAAGCATAAAGCAGTAGAATCATTTCCCACTCCTTATTTCAGTGATTGCCCCCTCCCTTGTCCTTCTCCCGTGTGATGTGTGGGATTTTTATCCCTTTATTCCATATTCACAAGCGAATACCTCACCATGTCCTAATTCACTTTGCAACTGACTCGCGCAGCCTGCTCCCATCTGCCTGCTTCTTCTTGCTCTCCCTCCACGTCGTTCTAATATTTCAGATCTAATGCTAAAATGAGTCATCAAATACAAAGGGAACACACAGGGTCTGCTAAGAACAAATGGCACCCAGTAGGGGAAAGAGTCAAAACAAGGAGCTGGAAGCTAGACAGAGATGCCATCAGCCCTGCCAAGAACTACTTAGGTAGAACATGGCGTTTGAACAAGGTCAGAGGTTAGAGTTGGGAAAGAAGAGCTGCAAGCGAAGTAGCACACATAACCCTGGGAAGCGTCAGCCTCTGGCAGCTGAGACAAGCAGCCTTTCCATTTGTCTAGCATTACTTATCTTGCCCAAAATAGACAAGGAGACTAATGAAGTCCCACCGTCTGTGAGCTGCCCCACTGTCTGGGCCTTTATGAAGTCATCAGTCAAAAGTGTGAAAGGAAGAGAGTTGCCACACGTTTGGATGAGGTTTCTGAAAATCCTCAGCTGAGGGCAGACCATGGGGGAAAGTGGTGAAAAGAAACTGCAGGCCAAGTTGACTGGCAGCCTCTCAGCACGTGCTGATGGCTCCTTCTTACCCGGCTGGACAGAGAACCACTAGCCGTGGCCCTCGTGCCACGATCCCTGCCCCAATCATGCTGCCAGGTGAAGGCACTGCGACAGGGTCACAGGTCTATTGCAGAAAATTCTCTACAGAGAATGTGGGTTACTCCCAAGTAATTAATTCAACAAACAAGTTATAAAGTGAACTGGCAATTTTTCTAATGTTAGCACAGTGCCTGGTAAATAAAAGAATTTCCATATTGCCTAGCCTGCATTGGGATTCCTGTAGGTAACTGTGGTCACATCGAATAAAAATAAAATACAGAAGCTCCTTGAAGGGCAAATGAAGGGAAATGCCCTCAGGGAAGTCCAAGTAGACTAAGAACTCAGGACTGCCGTGCCACAGCTCCCTTTCCCTTGGGGTTCTCGCTATTTATCAGCAGCTCTGGGAGGGGGTTGGACCTCTTCCACGTCACCCTTTTGACGCCAGCATTAATAAAGGACCTTTCCCTTTATTCTTTGTAGAACTGGTGAGACTGGTTTTGAAGATATAATTTACTAACGTCCAACTTAAATGATCTTCAAGGACCTTTCCTGCTTATTCTTAGGATGATTTCTATAGCTTCTTCTAAAAGATCTCTTTGGGATAACCTCTTCTTAACATAACACAGTTGGGACAGGGATGCTGGCTGCTCACCAAAACTTATGTCCTCCTCTTCTTCTGGTCACTCAACCTTACTATACTTTGTAGCCTGTTTTGCAGCTCAGGTTGGACAACGGATTGGATCTTGAGCAGTGGAAGGTGAGAGGAAGAGATGCACACCACTTCCAATGCTAATTTGTTTTTAAGACCTGAAAGGCAGAGTTTAGATAGATAGATATAGAGATATATAGAGAGGTACAGAGAAAGAGCTCTCCCATCTGCTGGTTCATCCTCCAAAAGGCCACAACAGCCAGGGTTTAGCCAGGCTGAAGCCAGGAGCCAGGAACTGCATCCAGGCCTGCCACATAGATAGCCCCAAGCACTGGGTTATCTACTGCTGCTTTCCCAGGCACGTCAACAGGTAGCTAGATCAGAAGTAGAGCAGCAGGGACTTGAAGTGGATGCTGGCATCACAGGTGGCAGCTTAACTAGCAGTGCCACCACCCTGGCCCCCACGATTAATTTCTTATAAACTTCCTATGCAAGGGCTTCCATACAGTTTTCTCCTTATGGCCAGCTGGAATAGAGACAATCTGTAGGACAACTTTGGAATTTATTTCTTGCCTTTAGCAGCACTTCTGTCAGTTCGCTCCCTAAATACCTGAGTGGAAAGAGCTGCCTTTCAAATCTGTTCACCCGTGTCTTAACTTAGCAAAAAGAAAAACCAAAAAAACCCATATACATATATAGTTCTCAAGTTATTATATATTACAGAACTTGCTTATTACAGCAATTAGTTTACCCTCATAATGCAGCAAAGTAAGGATTACACTTTGAGAATCATTTCTCAATTTGGGTAATCAATTCCAAAAGTATATAAGTCACCAAGATAAGCAAAAAAAAAAAAAAAAAAAAAAAAAAAAGAGAGAGAGAGAAAAAGAAAAAAAGGGGGCTGGTATTGTGGCACTGCAGGTTAAGCTGTCACCTGCTACACTGGTATCCTATAACAGAGCAACAAGCTCCAATCCCAGTGGCTTGGCTAATGTGCCTGGGAAAGCAATGGAAGATGGTCCAAGTATTTGGGCCCCTGACACTCACATGGGAGACCAGAGTGGAGTTTCAGGCTCTTGGCTTCAGCCTGGTTCAGTCCCAGTTGTTGTGGACATTTGAGGAGTGAACCAGTAGATGAAGATCTCTCTTTCTCTCTCTCTCTCTTTAACTCTGCCTTTCAAGTAAATAATAAAATTAATCGTTTATTAAAAACAAAAAGGAAAAGGGCTTTTCAAGGATTCAGTTTGGCTTCTGAATCATTTCAGAACTTTAGGATAGGAAGGTAGGAAAGGGGAAGAACTAATTCATCCTTAAGGAGTCTGCTTATCAGGTCTGGGGGCTGCCTAAACCTGAAGAAGGAAAATGAGTATTCATTTGTTCTAAAACCACTAGGGTCTTGTCTCATGTGAAGATGGGTGAGGGAGGTCCTGGCACTGTGGCACAAGCATCACAAATGGGCACTGGTTCCAGTACTGGCTGTTCCACTTCCAATCCAGCTCCTTGCTAATATGCCCAGAACAGCAGTGGAGGATGGCCCAAGTGGTTGGGCCTCTAAACGATATGGGAGATTCAAAGAAGTTCCTAGCTCCTGGCTTTGGATTGGCCTGGCTCCAGCCATTGCAGCCATTTGGGGAGTGAATCAGTGGATGGAAGATCTCTCTCTTCCTCTTTCTCCCTCTCTCTCTGTAACTGACTTTCAAATAAATGAATAAATCCTAAAAAAAATAAAAGATGGGTGAGGGTTTGAGAGGAGAAAGTTTATTATGGGAAAGTAAGAGAAAGAAAGGAATGTGGCTTGTTAAATTGTGATGTGATGGAATATTTAACATCTATTAATAGAGATACAACAATAGTAAAACCTGACTTTGGTGAAATGACAAAAAAAATTAGGCAACCTATGTACCTATATCTTAAATGAGAAAAAAATATATACATAATACTCAAGCTATTTCCTATTTTGGTAAAATATATTTTTTCACACAGAGTGAAGTACGCATCTGTTGGGTCATTTGAATATCCCAGATTCGCAAAAGCCAGTTCCTATAAGGTTTTCTTGTTTGAGAGTTGAAAAAGAAAGATTTGGATTATTATGTAAAAAGGAACTGGTAGAATAAAAATGGGGGTGGCTTTTGGTACAGCAGTTAAGTCCCCATTTAGGATGCCCACCTCTCATATTGGAGTGCGTGGTTCAAAACCAGGCTGCTCCACTTCCAGTCCAGCTTCCTGCTACCGTGTATGCTGGGAGGCAGCAGGTGATGATGCAATTAGTTAGATCTCTGCTTCCCACATGGAGTTCCAGACTCCTGGCTTCAGCCTGGCCCAGCCCTGGCTGGATCTTTGGAAATGAACAAAAGGATAGACAGTATCTTTCCTTCTGTCTCTCTGCCTTTCAAATAAATAAATGGAATCTTTGCAAAAAATGAAAACTAAAAATTAATTTAGATGGGGAGGAGCTTTTGAGTAGGAGCCTGCCCCTCAACCTCATAGCTGGACTACAAGGGGTGAAAAGCCTTTCTCCACCTGGTTACCCGTATCTGCCAGCCTTGAACCAGGATAAAACACATAAGAATATTCTGATGAAAATGCTAACCACCACATCTAAGTTAAACGGCCATAATGAGGAGGGTACCCTCAATGAATAACAGCTGTTGTAAATCCCTCCCCCGTCCTTTTCACCTCCTGGGAGTGGATGGGGCAGTTAGTTTTCTCTCCGCTCACCTCCCATTTGCTAACATCTGAAGGTACTTCCACAAGGTCTTAGCAAATGGAATTGAAAGGTAAGTGCATGCCTAGTGTTTTTTTCATAATACACATTTGC